CTCAGTCCGGATCTCCTCTCTGCTGCCACAGTGACTCAGTCTGTAATGTTGGCGGGGTCCTTGTTCACCCGTCCTGCCCTCAGGGATTAGATGGGAAGTACCTGGCTCTCTCCACGCGTTTCAGCTGGGAATCGTGGTGGTGTGCATCCAGCACAGACTCGATCCCATGAGCCCTGCTGCTCCCGGAGAACTCGCTGTCTCGGCGCAAGGTGCGCGGGGCTGGGGGAGCCTGCTCGGCTGGCTCAGAGAGCCTCTGCTTCCTATTTTTGAAAGGTGTTTGTTAGTTGTACTGTAATATCTTTTGTAGTTACTGATGAAATCTTATATTATTTTTTATTACCTAATGAATTTATTAGTATGAAATTTTATAACCTTGAGTTTTATTTCATGTCATGTCAGTACTGTCTCATATACTTCTTTATCTTATTTTATCTTGTAAATAAGGTAATACCTTTTTAAGTTTGATGTGTCTCTTGTAAAACAGCATTTACTTAAGCTGCAGTACAGTTAGAATTTTTTAACTAAAGAAACTTAGATTGTTGCTGTGATCATTCATACTCATTTCCAGTTTTCTTATTCCATTTCTCTCTTCTTCTACCTCCATTCCCTCACTTTCCACCTTTCCCTGCATTTCCATCCTTTTCTCCTTTCTCTGACACCATGACTCCTCCCAAGTGTTTCCACATGTTACATCCAACCAGCAGAGATGGAACCTTTTACATAAGGACCATTGCGTTTGGTCACCTCTGCAGAGAAGGTAAAGCAGTGCTGCTCAGTCCACAAAGCAGCTGTTCCCTGTCTCAGTCTCAAATCTTGTTCTTGTGTTTGATCCAGTTCAAAAATGAGAAAACGGATCTTACAAGTGAAGTACCTGTAGTAAGAATACTTGCTTCCATGTGTACTTGGGGCATACGCCCTATCTTGGCCTCGTGTGGCCTATGAGGGTTCTGACCCATTGTGTAGGCTCAGTAAATGTGAAATTTAAGTGTTTGTCTTCCCTGTCCATTTTCCTCTCTGTAGTGTGGGATACATATGCCATGCATTACAAGAGGAACATCCGGACAGAACTCGCTAATCAGTTCAAGAGAAAGCTACTCTCTGCCTTTATCTTTTTAGTGCTGTCTATTATTGTGGGAAGGGAAACCAATGTGTGGTTCTTCGCTTCTCTGTAGCACTTGCTAATGCTCCTCCCCTTTTGTAAACAGTGAGCGGGGGTCAAGTTCACTTTGTTGGTAGAAACAGTATTTAGCTAGGATTTAGTACTGTTGGTTTGTTTTCCTGTTATGTTTTGGTTATTTTATATTTATTCATAATAATTTGATTTTCCATTTTAAGGTATTATTAAGTTTTATCGTTGAAAAAAACTTTAAAAATTGAATTGTTTTAAAGAAAAATATTAAATTCAGGTTGGGTAAAGTGGTTGGATAGAATTAGGTCAGGAAGGTAGTGTGGAATGAGTGAGATGTACCAGTCCCTTTTGCAGCATTCTCAGGTGTCCTCTTTTTTTTGTGCCATGCTGTGTAACAGGTCCTACCCAAGTGTTTACAGAGCTGTGCTTGGTGCTGAGAGCTGCACCCTGAGGGTACAGTGAGATCTGGGGTGCTCTGCGCCTAATCTAGGCAGGAGGAGAGCATGAACGTGGTTTTACCTGGTGTGAATGCACTGAGCAGGTGCTTGTCTGTCAGAGTGCTAGGGACGTCGGTCTGATGGAAGAAGCAGAGGCCACCTCCAGGTTGTAATAAGCTTTTGAAGCTCTATTCCCAAATTCATGTCAGTTGTTTGAAGGAAAAGGCCTATATTTGTGGCTGCTACTCTGAAAAGCACTGTGCCCAGGAGGAAGTGTGTCACCCTGGCACGCAGAAGACAGGGTGGCTGCAAGTGTTCTGGGCTTAGAGAGCTGCTTGTTCTCAGTCCCGTTCCTTAATCTCTGTCAGTGGTGATAAAACCCATGCCCTCCCGCTTCATCAGACTGCGCATGCATGAGTGATGGGTGATACACGCGTGTACATCAGTGCTGTATTATCTCATTGCATTACTAGTTTTAAATCCCAATGGGTCTGATTTCGAAGATGTTATAGATGTTTAATTATTTTCCCACTTTTTTTTTAGGTCTTGATGCAGAACTTTATTATGTGAGAAACGACCTTATTAGTCACTACGCTCTGTCCTTTAACCTGTTAGTACCCAGTGAGACAAATTTCCTGCACTTCACTTGGTATGCGAAGTCCAAGGTAAGAGTGGTCAGTAGACGCAAGACAGGGTCACTGAGGTGCCAGCGGCAAGGGTGGTGTGGAAGGAGTGAGTTGTCATCTCTGAAAGGGTCAGGGGGTGGTGTGCTGTAACTACCTGGTCTTCTCGTATTTATATTTTGAAAAGTCCTGAGCCCATTCCTCTAAAATGTCTCAGATCCTTTCCAGTGAAGGTGGCCATTGTTTAAGTGATCCACACATGACAAAGTACTCACCTCCACTTGTACTTTTCTGGTGGAATCTGGATCTAGAAAAGACAGTTGGACCTGATGATGACTGTGCTGTTATGGTGACACCTGGTTTTGTATGATGTTGAATTGATAGGTGATATACTTTTGTTCTGAGACAGGTTCTCACTGTGTAGCCTAGGCTGGCCTTGAACTCACAGCAGGCTTCTTGCCTCAGTCTCCTGTATGCTGGAATTGTAGGCCTGAGCCACCATACCTGGCTTTATATCATTATTTGTTAAATCCCTTATTGATGGATATAGACTTTCAGTAGCACTTTACTATTTAAAACAATGCATCCTTTCAGTGCTATACATTACATGGTTTCCTTCACTTCATTTGCTCAGCAAAATTCAGTGTTAAGGGGACGGTGGAAATAACTGGTAGTTCATCTTTTGTTGATGTTTCTACTTTTTCAAAGAATTTTTACTAAACTTTTTTGTGCTTTTGCTAGTGATGATCATAGAAACAGGAAAAAAACTGTATATAAGTATATTGAGGACTTTGTTCAGAAAGTTTTGTGAACCTAAGATATTTTTCTGAATGGTAAATTACCACTAAGAGGTGAAATGTTTCTCTCAAAGAATGTTCATGTTTAAAATTTAAATAGATATTGCCAAATAATTTCTCTCTTTCCTCTCCCAAGAGGGACCAGTGAGTCAGCTTCTCTTACAAAATGAGTGAGGATACATATTTTTTTCTGTTCACTTCTTAACACTGAATACTTTAAGTATTTAATCAGATAAATAAAAGTGATTATATAAATGAGCATGTATTATTGTTGTATATACTCATACATACATTATAGAAATATCATGCATTTTTACAAAACATAGTTGGAGGAGTGATGTGACTGCAGATGAGTTTGCTTGAGTCTTGGGTCCAGCCTGTGTTGTACAGTCTGGAGCATGTCACCTGTCAACACTGTTGCTCAGGTTTTCTAATTGTGCAGGATGTTCATAAGTAGATCTGTTTAGGGCAAAAACAAAAATAGAGAACAAGAGAGCAAATTCATGAGAAATAATTTAGGAGCATTTAGAAATGGTAATGTGGATATGTGAAGTACCAAGATGAATGTGTAGGTAATTCAGGAAAGGTTCACTTGAGAGATGTTAAGCCAAGATAGGTGCCCTAAGCCGCAGGCACCTGAACTCTTAAAAGAAACCAGATTAATACATTTTTAGTATTGTTATGTAATGCTGTATGAATTTATTTTTTTGAATAGCTTTTAATTTTGTTATAATTTTAAGCATAATGAAAAGTTACAAGAAGAGTAGAAAGAATTCTTACAAAATTCTTCCCCCAGATTTACCAGTTTCCAGTGTGCTCTGTGTGTGTGTCTGTGTGCATGCGCGCTCACACGCTCTCCACCTCTGTTCTTCTCCACCTTCTCTCCCCCCCATCTTCCCCTTGAACTATTATAAGAGTGAGTTATAAGTATCATGTCCCTTTATTCCTAAATATTTCAGTGTGTATTTTCTAAGACCAGGCGCATTCTTTATACCATCAGAATACAGTATTCAAAATTAGGAAATTTAACATTTCTGCCTAATCCATTGTATTCACATTTTATTAGTTATCCCAGTAATATTCTTCAGAGCTAACTTTTCACTAGTTGATGTCCTTTAGTTTCCTGTTCATCTGAAACATTTCTGTAGCCTTTGTGATTTTTGATCTTGACGTCTTTGAAACACAAGCTAGTCGTTATGTTGAATGCCCTCAATTTGAGTTGTCTGAGATTTTCTCTTGGTTAGATTCAGAAATGTTTCTTTGGCATTAATAGTACAGAAATGCTGTTCTCCAAGGTGCACTGACATCTGTCTATCCTGTTGCTGGTCTTAACTCTGAAAACCCAGGTTACCAGGCTTCTCTGTAGTAAAGTTACTGCCTTTATAACTGATAAGTAATTTGTGGGGACTTTTTCTTTTTTTAAAAATTTTTGCCTTGAACACCTAGGTTTTCATTTTCATGTGTAAAATAACTCTAGAAATAGAGGTTTCTGGTAGCCCTACTTTCCATCATCCTAAAGGTTTGTCACTTGTTCTCATGGTTAACTAATGGCTGCCAAAGCTTTAACATCTGTCCAGGCAGGAATACTTTGAGAGAACAAGAAAGTCTTGCCTCCATAAAAATGAGACTCCCTGAAAATAGTACATAATGCTTCTTACATCTCATGACCAAAACTTAGCTACATGACCACAGCTATCTGCAGAGGAAGCAAAAAAATGTGATCTTAGCTGGATGGCAATGTGTCCAACAAAAAACTAATGTTCTTTTATTAAAGAAAGACAGGATATTTGGGGGGGAACTGGCAGTCTCTAACTTCCTTCATCAGGAGGGAACATAAGTCTTCAGCTCAATTTAAAGAAAGATTACAAGCAGGCTCCTTGGGTAAGATGCAATAATATTTGTTGTAGAGACTCATCTTTTCTATTTTGTTTAGTACTAGGGGGAGTAAATATTTATAAATCTGTTGTTATGATTTAGACCGATAATAGCCCCCAGAGGTCTGGTACGTTTGGAAGGTGATTGGATCATGGGGACACTGCACTGATCAGCGGATTCATCCCTTAGCTCACTGGGGGCAAGAACTGGAAGGGTGTATTTTCATCCCCACTCCTCCCTTCTCTCTCTTCCCTGGTTGCCATGTGAACAGCTTTCCTCTGCCATGTGTTCTGCCATGCTGTTTCTGTCTTAGAGCCAGCCAACTATGGACTAAATTCACTGGGACCAAGAGCCCAAATAAACCTGTCTTCCTTTAAGTTTCATGTATCAGATATTTTGTTTCAGTGACAGGAAAGCTTTTATACATACCTAGCCAATGAAAATTTCTAAACATTTAATTTAAACCATAATGCTCAATTTTAGTGTGGACCTGGATCTGATAGACCTGGGATTGCCACATACTTGCTGTATGAAGTAGCAGATGTAAGACTTCAGCAGATGGTTAGTAGATTGTAGGTGTCCTTCTTTATGCTTCTCTCCTTCCTCCCTGCCTCCTCAAGGTTCTGTTGGGATGAGCTGCTTCACAGTTACTTTTCAGTGCTATATCTGGCTAAATATTTTTTTCTCCCATTCCACATCCCTTTCAACCACTAGTTTCTATGTCTATGTTTAGAATTAGGTTTCACTTTTCAGCCTGTCAGACCTATACTGGGTGGCCATTTGGTGGAATGTTGTGGAAGAAATTCAAACATTTATAGCGAGTGGCTGATCTTGAATTTCAAGTTCCCTTCTAGCTAGGTGTGTTCTGTGACACACCTTTGAAGCAGAAAAGCTTATTTCCTTCAGAAATATTGATGGTTAATTCTTTGTCACTATTTGTACTTTGGATGTTGACAGTTATAAAAACAAAGAGTACATATATTTTGAAATAGTAAAAGATTTAATAGTGGATTCTAGTCTAGGTATCTCTACTGACCTTGAGCACGGAATAAATATTTCTGGATACACTTAGGAAAAAGAAATGCTGATACGTTATAAAAATGTTTCCTGGACAAATGTACAGGTTTATGATTTGTGAATAAAAAGGCAAAGCAGGAAGTGGTAGTTAGAATTAAACAAAATTAAGCCCTCTTTTACTCATTCCTCTGAATAGGTATAATGCAGTGTTATTATATGGAGTGAGTTTCAGGGCTCTGATGTTGCTGGTAGTGAGTGCTTGTGTCTTAGGAGCCTGTTAAGAGAGGAATCGTGAAAGAGTAGACAGAACGTCACACATAACTATGTTTGGTGGGGTAGTGCTACCAGCATGGTGCGTTTTGAGTCAGGAGAAGGTTGGTAGAGCTCTGTTCTTCCATATTGTGTATGTTATCTGTTAGAGCACAATTTTAAAACTACTGTGGCATCCATCACATATCATCATTAGTGCATATTTGGACTACTGCTGCTCAAATGGCTATTTCTGGTAAGGTAGAAATTCCCTGACTTGTTGGATGGTATCAACATGTATCTATGTGTTTAGGCAGGAGCCTAGAAGAGATCTTGGTCTCCGATAGCTCCTAAATCCAACGGGTTCTTTCTCATAATTACATCTTAAATTTATTTCCTTCTCTCTTGGGACTGCTCTCAGTGCCTCATTCTAGTTTGAGTCTTCATTGTTTTTTTCCTAGATAAGGAAAGTGTTATCTAGATTTCTTTCCACTGGACTGACCGCTTCTGTACCCTTTGCACAGACACTAGGAGCTCCCTGTTGCCACCAGAATAAAGTTCGGATTTCTTAGGAAACCATTACGATCTTGTTCCTGCCTCTTTTTTTGCTTTTTTTAACAGCCAGTTGTTGAGTACCATTTTGTCTGTCTTGCAGTATCTTGAATGTCCTGTGTCCTGTCACTTTGCTGTTGTGTGCTCTGCTAGAAATGCCTTTTACCCAACTAACTCCTGTTATCTCATAGCACTGGTGTTGTCTCTCCTCCAGCTGCCACAAAAGGCTCCAGGTGCCTTTTCCGTATCCACAGTGCCCTCCTCTCTTATGGCTTTCATCATACTCAAAGAATATTGTAAGAGTTGATTTTCTTTTCTGTTCTCTCCCAAATGCCAAGCTACACAGAGATGTCCCCTGAGCTGCCTTAGTAATGGTACTGACTGCAGAGAAAATGGACAGGTGGCAACTGTAGTGCACAGCTCCACAAAGAGAACCACAGAGCAGTTAGTGTGATTCAGACTTGCAACATGTTGCTTTAGAGGAGGGGACTTTCCTTCTTTCTGAAGGTGGGAGACATCGGCAGGGTACATGCGATAGTAGCTTTGTACATG